AAAAATATGCTAAGAATTTTTTAAATGAGTTATTAAAATAAAGATTTTATTTTTTTCCAACAATGAAGCCAACTTTTACCCATAACGAAATTTTTGCGTCATTAATGTATATTATGATACCATTTAATACAGCAAAATATTCCCAGTGGATAAAAGTAAATTCTTTTGACTAGCTTTATAGCGAATACATTCACATCATCGTTAGGAACAATTTATTAAAATAACAGAAAGGAGTACTACTGTTAAAATATATATATATATATATATATATAAACTCTTTTTGAGCATATCCTTTCATTTCCTTTAACAAGACGACTGCATTTTTTTAAAGAGGGAAAAAACATGATTCACTTCATGCTTTAAAATAAAATACTTATAAAGTAATTTCTTCAAATTATTAAATAGGATATTTCCAATTATATATTTATAAAAAAGAATCCTTCACACCTGTGAATTTCGACTAAAATATTTAATGTCATGTGAATCGTCTAGAATTTATTCAGTGTTTTGTGAAACCTTTTCTAGAATTTTTAATAAATAAATATTTATTTAACTTTTGTCTTAAACTCTTTTCCTAGATATTTCGACATGAATAAACAATGAGTTACTTGATTAATGTTCCTTTTATTCTCCATTATGTCGATGAGGTGCAGTTTTAATATCCAACTTATAAAAGAGCCATATGTATTGTTGGTTTCATAATCAGAATTCTTTGAGTGCTTCAATTTTAAAATATGCAAAACGATAAAGTGACTTTCTCCCACATTACAGATGTGAATTCTTGCAACAACACGACGTTTCGAAATAATTTAAGGCACTAAAATAAGAAAAGATGAAAACATATTCCGAATTTCTAAAACAGAAAATTTCTGTACTCCAAATAAAAAATTCGATAGTCTAGCAAATAGTAGATATAAGGAATGATTAATCTATCCATGTTCAGTTTTTTCGCAATTCCTATGTCACAGAAGTTTATCCCAAGAGAAAAACGATTTTAATCTACTTTTTTTCAATTAAAAAATAGAAATTTTTCCATTTAAAATTATTTCCTGTGCACACAAAATTGTAAATGGTGATTGCAATATATGTTGAAAGATCAAGTTCAACAATATGTTGACATATGCTAAAGTTCGTGGACAATTCAAAGTAGCTGTAGCTTTGTAAATATATGCGATAGAAGAAAGAATTTGTAAAAAGTTCAGAAAGCTTGCTGTTCCAAGGCAATTATTTTTTATCTCTTTTTTATTTATTTTTTATGTTTTTTTATTTATTTTGAAAATATTAATGTGAAAAATAGCTTTAGCGTTTATCCTTTGAATTTCAACTTGGAAAAAATGTTACTAATGACTAATAGAATACTATTAATTAATTTTTTTCCTATAAAATGTGTGCCTACTATTGCCTTTAGGTTATAGCAGCATTAGCGCACTTTGGAAACAATATATTATCTATTATAAAAAGTAATATTTTTGCCTTTGTTACTTTACGGAGCTATTTAGCTTTCAGTTTTCTTTATTTAATTGTTTTACTCTTACTTTTTTAGTTTTCATTTTTCTGGTAAAATGCTGCTTCACGCTTTTCAGCTAAATGCAAATTTAAGTTGTTAATTTTCCTTTTAATATTTTTTCGGATTGATTATCTACTATTGTTTCTCGGTTGTAAAGGCATTTAGCACACTCTGGCTTTTTTGGGGTTTTATCGTTTACGGAGCTGATTGGCATTTGCTTTCAGGTTCTGTCGATTTTAGTGTGTTTAACTCTTTTTTCTCTAACTTTTTAAAAATAATTATTTGATTTTGTGTTGGAAAAGAAATATTTCATGCTTTTTGTTTATTAATTCCTTTAACTTCTTGTGTTTATTTTACTAAAATTAATATGCGCAAATGAAGAATATTTTTGTAAAAACTTCAAAATACAGTTGAACCCCCATATATCGATCTTTCATGCATCGTAAATCTCTATGCATTGATTTTTTCAGGGTTTCGGATTTTCAATAGAAAAGCAGCTTCTTTATATCGAATACAATTTCTATACATTGAAAAAAAATCATCTTCTAAAAATTATGTATATGGGAGATCAAGGCATGTTGACGATGTTAACAGTTAACCATTTTTAATGAAATCAGATTTTGAGGTAATTTTTTTTCTTTTCATGTTTTATTAGATTGACCTTTCATTTTGTTGTACATAAATTGATTAATTTTTATTTTAATATAATCGAAATTATTTTGTCATTTACAAAAATAAAGCAAAAGAGCCAACTTTTCCCGGAAACGGGGAAAGGTGACAATTCTGATAAAAGTTGAATGCATTTTTTTTAGAAAGCATAAGACGGAATACTAATTAATTAAACATTGTGAAGTATTATTTTCTTGATTACTACATAATGAAAGAGTTATTTTATCTAAAATTTTAGCTCATAGTAAACTAATATTACTCAAAAACAGTGTCTTTCTATTACAAAAATTAAGACGCCAATTTTCCTCCTTCAAAGTTTGAGCAGCCCTCGTACCACCAGGAGTAGCAATTGCAACAATCTATCCAGACTTCTGATAGAAGATCACATGCGTGATTGTTTCAGTATGAAAATGACGAAAGATTTTGCAATATGTATTTCTGTATATTGAAATTTCTCTATATAGAATTATTTTTCAATTGCCGCTGATATCCACACCCATTAGGACATGTGGGACGACTGCTTTGATCAGGATGAACCGAAAGATAATGGTGGCAAGAAAGATGAAAGGAAAACTAGCTAGAAACTGGCTAATGGAAGCATTCTAAACTGACTTACACTGCTAAAGATTTATTCCTAATGTTCCTAATAATTTTTTCCCTTTCTGATTGAAAGTGAACATTATATTGATACGGCTTCGTCAAAGATTATTCAGAGAGATTTAAGGCAGTAGTTTGTCCAGAAAGAAATGAAAATTTAGATTTGATTTTTGTGCACGAACTTACATTTTTCTTTTAGAACATTGAAAGGAACTTAGCAAATTACTTAATATGTTTGCTTTTTTCAAAATTATTTCCTTTTGAATTTAATATAAACTAGCCGCCTGCGGCGACCAGCTGCTTCGCCAGTCTTTTATTAATACTAATAAAGCAATTAAGGCTGACATTTTCAACATTTCAATTTTTGTAAGCTGAAAGCAATAATTGCAATTAGGACAAAGAAATGAATTGAAAAACACAAACAGTGAGCAGGTTAGTCAGTATAACTGAATTTTAATTCTTTATACACAAAACGAAAATGTACAGAATGTTTTTGCATATAATGAAATTTGAGTTAATCCCTTATATGTGAGTGTTATTAAGTGAAAATATTCTTTAAAAATGGAAAAGATAATAAGTAATGAAAATTTGAAAAAAAATAATTAAATTTCTCAGCTAAAAATAATTTACATATTAAAACTAATTAAAACTCAAAATAACTAAATAAAGTTTTTTCTATAAAAAAAAGAGAATTGACTACATTTTGTGAAACGCAAAACTAAATTTATGATAACCATTTAAATCTAGTCACTGAAAACATCCATTTATAAATTAAAAAAAATTGTTGAATTGAAATGCATAGAGGAAAAAAAACCAAGTATTGAATAATTATTTTGTGCATAACAAAGCAACAAACTATTCTAAAGCTATCTATTAGACTTAATTAATCGCCGATATACATTCTGGAAAAAATTTTGTAAAATTTGAGAAAAATTTAGATGAGGAGAGAATTTTAAAACTTAAATAATGTTTAAAAATTACTTAGAAAATAGTATTAAATAAAATAAGAAAAAGCTAAATGAGAGTATTGCAAGAATTAAAATCTAATATTTCCTTCTTGGTATGCAAAAAAGAGGGGGAGAAGATGACGAAGCATTTGTTGACAGTGACGAAGGCAAAATTCACGCACGGCTCTAACTCGAGGCGAAAAGATGGAAGAAAGATATGTTACCGAAACCGTGTGAAAGAATGTTAGAAGTAGTTGTAATGGAGTATAGGCAAAAAAAATTGGGGGCGGGGCAAAGAATGCTGAAAAGAGGGGAATTATTTAAAAAAAATTATCTGGAACGCTTACAATTTACATGAAGTGATTTTTAATATTAGGTAGATTTTCAAATAATTTTTTTGACTAATTTCAGCTTTAGAATAAATTCTTTAAGGCCAGGAGCTTAAGAGCATTTCTCAGATCAGTGTTAAAAGTGTAGAACGCTTCACCATTTTGCGTGTCATCCTTGGAAATTGGCCATGCTAATCTTCTTTGCATCGTTCCATTTTTTGTATATGAACTGCCGAAGCGATTACATCAATAATAATTTTGAAGATACTCGCGGCCATTACAGCTGCTACGACCCGCCCCCCTTACGTAAATTTATACTCTCGCAACCAGCGACAATAACGTTCATAAGAATTTAAAAGTTTATAAAAAATAGATAAAATTTTCTAACATAATAAAACTGGTATCAATGGAAAGATAGTTTTTAGCTATTTAAAATGACATGAAAAATTTCTTTGTCAATCAATTCATTCCGAAGTTATTGGCAAAAAACGACGAAATTTGGTTTTAATTTTTAAATAATTTAAATTTGAATTAAAATTTTAAAAAAACGGCTCTGAGGTGCACATCTTTAGCATCCAAAGTATATCTGTGCCTAATTTGGTAGCTCTATGTTATACGGTCTGTTCTGTACATCGCCAACCGACACACACACACACTCATCTTTATTAGTATTACAGATAAGTTGATAGTTCAATATAAGTAAGTTGACAATTTTGTGAAATTTTCCTTTAATCCTATTGTAGTATGAATTTCTGTATATTGAAATTTCAATATGCAGAATTATTTTTCAATTTTGATATGATGAGGTTCAACTGTATGTGACAAATTAGTTCCATTCCATAACCCTGCAGGATCGACTCAACACAATGGTTGTAGACTCTTTTATGACAAATTAGTTAGACTTTAAAAAAACTGGATTACTATCAGAATAAATCTTTAATCGCCTTTCGCCCCAGGATGGCCGAGTGGTTATGGAATCAGATTCGTCTATCTCACTGGTGTCTCTCACATTCGTTGTTGAATGATTTCGGGCCAAGTGGAACAAATGTTGTACATAGAACGCAATTAAGTATCCGGTGATTGTGATGTTTGAGCTTATATATGAAAAAGTTGTTGCATGTGATGAAAGGTTTATTGTGTGTGAGAGATATCAGTGATTTCGATTGATCTGCTTCGCCGAGTGTGACGTGGGTTCGAGTCCCACTCCTGGATTAATGTTTTTCCTTTTTATATAATGCATTTCACTGACAACTATTTTTTTACTGCACAATGGCAAGTATTTCTACATAATGATAGGAATTATGATATTCCTCGGAGAAATGCATTACTTCAATGAACATTTTTGAATCGATTATTGTACCGACAGAACTTTATTGAGATAATTCAGAAAAGTTATTTCTTATTATCTTTGTAAACTGTAGAAGCAGGAAGAAAAATTATCATCTTCCCCAAAATAAGAGTGATCTGTTGTGAAAACAATGATAGTACCAGAAAAAAAAAGATTCCCAACCAGACAAATTCAGGAAAATCTTCGTGATAAAAACGATGATAAAATTATCATGATATTCTTCGCAAAAAAATAAGTGTTTAAATTGGAGACGATAATTAAAAAACACATGATAAGAATAATCAGGACGTTAAAAATATTTCCTTAACAACAAGATTCTAATACAGAAATTTCTAGATAGAATTGAAAAACATTTCCATTCATTTTTATTGAATTGATATCCCATTTCGAAATTAGACGATGATTATTTTGGGACGAACCTAGTAATTCTGGGCAATGGTCAAATGTCGATAACAGTACCTAAACCGGCAACTCCTCTACACAACTATACAATTCCATCGGGCGGACAATTGACCTACAACGAATTTGACACGCACCTAGCCTCCATGCATGATGTACCATAGTGGAATAGGTAGCATTCGAATAGGACCCAACGCTTATATGGGTGATATGGGCTTGTTTCTTAAGGTGTCAAATGATCAGTTAAATTTTAAAATTTTAAGGCTTAAACTTTTTCCACATATATATTATGCATTCTTTTCTTATTATGTACAATAAAGTAAATATTAGAGTTTACTCCTTTTGTTTTACAATGCTCAAACCATATTGAAAATTAGTTGCTCATTGTCCCTCTTATATCATTACTTGTTAATACTTAAAACGCACAAACAAAAGCAATTTTACTTTTTATATAGCAATAATTAAGTCAGTAGCTACCATAATTAAATTTTTTGGAAATCATTTTAACTTAAATATTTAAATTATAATCTTCCTTATTCATTCAAGTCGTGCTTACATAAATTTAATTCAATATGAATTTTTATTAAATCTTTACTTGTTTAATCTTCTCAACTTATGTCATCGATGTTTGACTTAATTTTCAAATAAAATTTATATTTGCTCTTTATTCTAATCTGGGAAAGCTATGCTAATTCGAATTCATGTCAAATATTCTAAATTAGCAAAAATGAATCTTTTCTCTTTTACATTTCCAAATCCTACAAAGCTTCTCGATGTAGCTTCTAAGCTATCTCAAAAATAGGATACCATATAAAAATGAAGCATTAATAGGTTTTAAGTTTTTATTACTAAAATCAATTATCCATATTAGAGCAGCAATCAACAAATTACACATTATAATGAAGTTGATTAAATTGAATCAAAACTGTCCTTGGTATCCATCTACTTAAGGTTCATCTGTAAATTTGTAGCGGTTCCAAATCAGGGGATTCAAACCTCGATGTTATCAATCTTTCTGACAGTCTGCTTTATGTTTGTTGGGCTAGATTTGAAATCGTCTTTTGGCAACTCCATTAGGCTCCGGACATACCGCCGATGGGTATATAAGAGAAGATTGGACAAGAACTCTCTCTTGACTTTGGCTCCTCTTTAGGTTGCCTCCTTCATCTTACTAAAGGTCAACTTCAGTATCATCCAGTGACTGAGTTCCATTTTTAAATCCCGGACTCTATGCGACCACCATGCGTTAACCATATTTGTATGTTATTGTTATAATTTTTAATTTTAATTAATTGTTTCTGTTGATAAAATGAACATTTTATTTATTTAAAAGCGTCCTCTGATTTTATGGAATAGGATCATATACTCAAACACACAAACTTAATAAAAGTTTTAAAAATTTAATACAGTTTTTGTTTTGATTCGGCAATATAAAATCATCATTTTTTGTATTTTTTGAACTAACAATGTTCTATATTGTTTTGAATTGCATAAATTATTTCTTAATTCTGAGTGAAGGCTTTATTTTTGAGGTATAGTAGCAATAAAATGTTTATATGAACAAATTTCTACAAGCATATAAATCGATTTTCTTCCAGGATTCTTGGATTTTCAATAGACACGCATCTTCCCTCTCTATCGAATGAAATTTCTATACATTGAGCAAAAATGTAATATAAAAATTACGTATTGCTATTACGGAAGAAAAGGAACATTTATTGCGTTTATAAGAAGGAATATACAATAAATAAGAAAAGTTCCATTTCACCTCTTCTTACTGCAATAGAAACTCAAGCAGACGTTTATGAAAACGCAATAAACACTTGATGGTGAGTCATATGATATTCTTAGCTTCTATTCCAAAAAATTTCTTTCCTAACTTGGACCGAGACTTTTAAGTTAAATTAAGTTTATATTTAGAGGCCTTATAGTGAGCATGGTCCTTAAACGGAAATCTTTAAGAAGAAAGAAGAGAAGTTAAGAAGAAGGGAAGAAAGACATAGAAAACGGAAAGCTTAGAGCGTTTTATATTGCAGCTGATATCCCCACGACTGCTTTGATCAGGATGAACCGAAAGATGATGGTGGCAAGAAAGATGAATGGGAAACAAGCTAGAAACTGTCTGATGGAAGAATTCTAAACTGTCTTATACTGCTAAAGATTTCTTCCTAAAGTTCCTGATATTTTTTTTCCTTTCTGAATGAAAGTGAACATTATTTTGATATGGCTTCGGCAAGGATTATTCAGAGAGTCTTTAGTCAGTATTTTTACCAGAAAGAAATCAAAATTTAGATTTGATTTTTGTACACGAACTTACATTTTTTCTTTTAGAACCTTGAAAGGAACTTAGCAAATTACATAATATTTTTGCTTTTTACAAAATTATTTCCTTTTGAATTTAATATAAATAGGTTGATATTTCAATATAAGTAAGTTAACAGTTTAGTGAAATTTTCCTTTAATCCTATTGTAGTATTTACTTCTGTATATTGAAATTTCTATGTGTCAAATTATATTTCAATTTTTTTATATGAAGAGGTTCAACTGTATCTGACAAATTAGTTCCATTCCATAACCCAGGACGGTCGACTCAACCCAATGGTTGTAGACTCTTTTAAGCCAAATTAGATAAACTTTATTGTTCAAGCTTTTCGCGTGCAAAAAAAACTGGAGTACTATCAGAATAAATCTTTAATCGCCTTTCGCCCCAGGATGGCCGAGTGGTTGTGGCATCAGATTCGTCTATCTCACTGGTGTCTCTCACATTCGTTGTTGAATGATTTCGGGCCAAGTGGAACAAATGTTGTACATAGAACGCAATTAAGTATCCGGTGATTGTGATGTTTGAGCTTATATATGAAAAAGTTTTTGCATGTGATGAAGAGTTTATTGTGTGTGAGAGATACGAGTGATTTCGATTGATCTGCTTCGCAGGGTGTGACGTGGGTTCGAGTCTCAATCCTGGATGAATGTTTTTCTTTTTATATAATACATTTCACTGACAACTATTTTTTTACTGCACAATGGCAAGTATTTCTACATAATGATAGGAAATATGATATTCCACGGAGAAATGCATTACTTCAATGAACATTTTTGAATCGATTATTGTACCGACAGAACTTTTTTGAGATCATACGGAAAAGTTATTTCTTATTATCTTTGTAAACTGTAGAAGCAGGAAGAAAAATTAACATCTTCACTAAAATAAAAGTGATCTGTTGTGAAAACAATGGTAGGACCAAAAAAAATTCCCACCTAATTCCCAAGCTAATGCATGAAAATCTTCGTGATAAAAATAATGATAAAATTATCATGATATTCTTCGTAAAAAATAAATGTTTAAATTTGAGACGAGAATTAAAAAAACGCATGCTGATAATAATCAGCACGTTAAAAATATTTTCTTAACAACAAGATTCTAATACAGAATTTTCTAGCTAGAATTGAAAAACATTTCCATTCATTTTTATTGAAATGACATCGCGTTTCGAAATTAGACTCTGATTAGTTTGGACGTACCTAGTAATTTTGGGCAATGGTCAAATGTCGATAACAGTACCTAAACCGGCAACCCCTCTACAGAACTATACAATGCCGTCGGGCGGACAAATGACCTACAACGAATTTGACACGCACCTAGCCTCCATGCATGATGTACAATGGTGGAATAGGTAGCATTCGAATAGGACCCAACGCTTATATGGGTGATATGGGCTTATTTCTTAAGGTGTCAAATGATCAGTTAAATTTTGATAGTGTTTTAAATTCTACAAAATTCCATATGCACACATACCTCAGTGGCAGTTTTTATATTATAAGCTTAAAATTTTTCCACATATATATTATGCATTCTTTTCTTATTCTGTACAATGAAGTAAATATTAGAGTTTACTCCTTTTGTTTTACAATGCTCAAACCATATTGAAAATTATTTGCTCATTGTCCCTCTTATATCATTACTTGTTAATACTTAAAGCGCACAAACAAGAACAATTTTACTTTTTATACAGCAATAATTAAGTCAGTAGCTACCATAATTAAATTTTTTGGAAATCATTTTAAGCTAAATATTTAAATTATAATCTTCCTTATTCACTCAAGTCGTACTTACATAAATTTATTTCAATATGAATTTTTATTAAATCTTTACTTGTTTAATTTTTTCAACTTATGTCATCGATGTTTGACTTAATTTTCAAATAAAATTTATATTTGCTCTTTATTCTAATCTGGGAAAGCTATGCCAATTCGAATTCATGTCAAACATTCTAAATTAGCAGAAATGAATCTTTTCTCTTTCATATTACCAAATCCTACAAAGCATCTCAATGTAGATTCTAAGCTATCTCAAACATAAGATAGCATATAAAAAGGAAGAATTAATAGGTTTTATGTTTTTATTACTAAAATCAATTATCCATATTAGAGCAGCATTCGTCAAATTACACGTTATAATTACGTT